AACCACCCTCCTTTATCTACAAGTTAAGGCTTTGGATGAAAGTTTTGTGGGGTTAAAATGTTATATTTAAAATTTGGGTGGTTAACATGTTATATTCAATGTTTTTGAGTGGTTGGTATGTACACCCCTAAAATTAATTAAATTTGTGTTAAAATAACTATTTGAATAGCTTGAGTTGCCATCATGCTTAACTGATCATCTATTTTAAAAACGAGAGCAGAGTCTGAGAAGGTCAGTGAGTCAATTTTTATAATTTCTATTTAGATCAATTAACCTTTAGATTTATTTCAGTATTAATTAATTAATATTTTCTAATTAATTTTCGGGTTTATCACTCCATCTCAAAGAGAGGGTTTGAAACAATTGAATTTCATTGGCATTCCTCTTCTTTTCATGATTTCTTTAGTAAGCAGCATAAAGTTTTGAAAGTTGACTTTTTCTGGCATGCTAAACAACTTAGGTTGGATGCACCCAACCACGTCGTGTGGCTGCAATGAGTGTTGCAGCACGTGTGTCACAGGAAATGGGTGTTAAACTTGGTCATGAGGTTTGTAACACCATCTTAACTTCTCCTTTTTTGATTGATAAGCTGATAACTTAAATCTATGATTGGTTTTGGTATGCTATTTATTGGCAGGTTGGCTATTCTGTCAGGTTTGAAGATTGTACCTCTGAGAAGACTGTTCTAAAATATATGACCGATGGGATGTTGTTGCGGGAATTTCTCAGCGAACCTGATTTAGCAAGCTATAGGTGCTTTATCTATCAAATGATCATAAATATATTTAGGAAGACGTACATACATATTACTCAATTCTTATTTATTTACATATCTAACACCTAAACTTCAATTTTTACTATACATGCCACCTTACTTATGCATGAAGTTGTATTTCACTTTTTTAAGTTAAAATGGTGGCTTTTTTATATAATATGAAAGATTTGGGTGGTGTAAATGTAAAAACTAAAGTTTAGGTGTTAGATATGTAAAGGTGAAGGAATTGGTTAGTATGTATAGAAATGCCCCATATATTTAATGGTATTTGTGCTGTAATTGAATTGCTTCTTTTTCTTTCATACTAAATTTCAGTATAATCATGGTGGACGAGGCACACGAGAGGACTCTTTCAACTGATATTTTGTTTGGCTTGGTAAAGGTGAGTTTTCTTAGTTCCATATCTTTATTAGAACATCCAAACACTATAAATTCCTTGATTATATATATATAGA